CAATTTGATTCCTTAAAGATATCTGATCATTTGAGTTAATCACTATGCGTAAAAATTGAATTTGATTCTTTGAAGAGACATTGCATTGATGAAACCCTAAGATCAGACTATCAGATCATGTAGCGACTTCAAATTTTTTTACCTGATAAAAGTTACACGAAAGAAGAATTAGAAAAGAAAGAGATGTGGAAGCTTTTAATAATGAAATCATGTTGTTGAAGAAGAGAGGCAAAGTGGAGATATTGAGATCGTGGGGAGGGGAGGGTGAAGAGAGGCGAAGCAGTTGCAAGGATTTTTTTTTTTTCGTACCTTTTTTTTTTTTTCTGTTGAATAACAAAGTTTAATTGGTTAGAAGAAATCTGAAAGTGTTAAAATTGGGACTTAAGATACGTGTCAGATGGAGAGGGTTGCAGTTTTTTTAGAATTGACTTGTGATTTATTATATAAGGATTAATTTTGGTATTCTAATTAATATGATACCTTATTGGGAAATTGTTAAAAATACTCCTTTTGTTGTGCTCCTTTTCAAGAATGTCTCTTTTAGATGTCCATTTTCAAAAATGCCCCTTTTTAAATCTGAAATCTTTATAAAGTTTTATTAGGTTTATAAGGTACTTATGAGTTGTAACTACTACTTGAAGACTCGATCCAAGTATTTATAAGGTTTTATAAGATGTTTTTAAAGGTTTTACAAGTTATTTTAAAGGATTTTTAAGGTTTTCCAAAGGTTTTACAAGATATTTTAAAAGTTTTTAAAGGTATTTAAAATGCATTTATAAGGTATTTATAAAGTATTTATAAGATTTTAGATACATAGAAATGTAGTTTGTGTATGTTTTAATAATATTACATACATATTTGGGTAAATTTTATATTTTTAAGAGCATTTTTTATAAGGTTTTAAAAAATGGATATTTTTGAAAAGTGGCATTGAAAAAGTGACATTTTTGCAAAAGCCCCTACTCTATTATTTCAAGAGAACTTTTGAGTTTTCTTAGGCGAAAATTGTAACACTCCAAACCCAACTTCTAGAGCTCACCCTATTTGTTTTGATAAAAATTAAAAAGAAAAGTCCAAGTAAAGTAAAAACCCTTATGCGACAAATGGTTATGTTGTGTATATGTATATAAGAAGCCTATATATATATAGGCTATTGTCGTTTTGAAAGAGAGGAAGCAATTGAGACTTGAACCCTAGCCACCAACAATCAAGAGGTCGTGAACTAGGAGAGAGTGATATAAGATTGGAATCACTCCGACTTTAGATCACTCGGTGATCACGAGATTGCAAGCTTAAGTTGCGGAAGGTGGAATTCACGAGCGAGCTCTAACGCACTCTCTCGTGAATCAAGGGATGGAACGATGAATAGATGATTGACTCACTCAATCAATGGACGAATAAAGATGAATACATTTGTATACTTCTCGTTTCAGACATCTGAAATAACAACTGTTTGGATATCTATATAATATGTTAGTAGTAAAAAAATTTGTGTACTTTAAGTGGTCAAGAAAGAGATAGACATGCATATATATAAATAAAAAAGAACAAAGAAAAGTAAATGTATAACTAACCTCATTTTCACCTCGAGAACGACAAAAAGCACAACACTTATCTCATGCAATAGACTGACCAAGAACTCAAGCGCGTGCGGCTAAAGTGGACAACTTAAGGAGCTAAATATTTTCAATGTCCTTGACCTTGTGTCAGATTAGTAGAAAACTAATTTGCTCTTTCAATAACGTCTATGACCCAATTATCTCTATTTTCAATTGATTAACAAAACCCTTTGGTAATCCCTTCTCATCTCTTGATTTTTCTTCTACAATAATCACATGTATTTCGGTCACGTGTGAGTGATTCTCATCAAAGATGAGTTTAGGGATTCCAAAAGAGTTTTATTTGCCAAAACCTATATGTAATTCTTATTTATGGTAATGATAGTATAGTTTTCTATCTTTAATTATTTTTTGAAACCTTAATTAAATCCGGCCAATTTAACAATTTTCCATGATCCAATTTAACTAAAATAAATGCAGTTCTGGCTTTTGAAGTTAAGAAGTCTTTCTTTTCATTTGTTTTTGTATGGATAAAAAATACTTTAATAAGCTTCATTTTATAAAATTCGGTCTAAAAAGTTACCATATATGATTAAATACTTCGATGTACGTAGTAGAAAAGAAAAGTCATTGCTACCTTGGTCTAATGTTGTGTTATCCCCACATCAATATTAGATTAGTCAATCACTCTGAATTGTAGTTAGTGTATTTTGGTATTTAAAGCACACACTAAAAAGCTTATAATGCAAATGCATTAAAAGTTTTGTTAGAAGATCTTATGTGCCCATAGCACTCTATTTATATGAAATATTCTTAGTTTAGTTCTCTATCAAATTAAACTTAACTTAGTGTATCCTTGCATCTTTATTATAACACATGTTCTCTCAATTTTATTTTATTTCAAAATGATCACTTGAATTTTGACTACTTAAATATTAGCCATAATATTTTAGTTAACACATATGAGATCCAAAAGGATTCTTAGATATAAATTAATAAAATATTTGGTCTAACTAAATCACTTAAAAAGTTATATTAGTTGAGGGATATAATAATTTGATTAGTATTAAATATTTGTTAAAATTAGAGTAGTATTAGTTGTGTAGTATAATAATTTATTAAATCTTAAAACTCACTCATCTCATTAGTATGCTGAGACACCTTAAATTTCATATCTTATGGTATTGATGAACAAATCTCTTTTTTATGATTAAAGAAAAAAAATTGTCACTTTAGAGAATTTCTTTACAAAACACTTTTAGTTTGAGGAAAAAGAAAATCTAAAGTAAATAAAAGAAGTCTCTTTTAAAATATAATTATTGGAAATATTAAAAAAGGAAAAATAAATTGAAGATTATGTTCAAACATTAAAATAAAAATTGATTATAAACACTTTAGAAACAACTACATATATATAAACATGAATGATGAGGTTTCTTCTCAAATGCATCATAACCTATAAGAAGTTTATTTTTATATAGAACTAGTTACTTATAAAATGGCAGAAAATATCAATTTGGAATTGAGTTTACAAACAAATCACACAATTTGACGTTGATTATAATTGTCGACTTCATCTACCAAAAAGAGCGTTTGAACAATTTATAATTCCAGAAATGGAATGGGAATTAATCATGAATTTGAAAAACAGTGTCGAAGTAATAGTGAAAGATGTGAACGGAAATGAGTACCATGTAACGCTAATACAATACCAAAATGGTGATTATTGTTTCGTTGGAAAATAGATGGATATCGTGAGGGCAAAAGGTATAAAAAAACGATGAAATTTCACTTTTGTGGGATAAAACTGTAATGCCCCGACCGTCTCTATCAGTGGGCCCTACGTCCTCTCTCGGGCTCATGGGCTACCCTTGTCCGACGGCCGGTCCGCTACGTTTGGGAAGCTTTAAAGATTTGTATACCGACCCTACAAATTACCACATGATTTTTCCCTGTGATTTGTCCTGTCTCACACAGTTCCAACAATCACTTTCCGGAAGGTCACCTATCCTGAAACTACTCCAGCCCAAACACGCTTAACTGTGGAGTTCTCTCAGGACAGTTGACCGAAAAGATCAATGCACTTTGGTGACATAGGTGGCCAAATCAATTCTTTTAAACCTCTCCGCATGCACCACCATATTCCTGAAATCGGGGTGTTACAAAAATGAACAAAATTTTCTATATTATATAGTCTTATCTCTATTTTCTTTTAAATATAAAAAGATATTTTTCTAATTAGTTTTATTATTCTAATTAATATAATATTTAATTATTTCAAGTGAACTTTGAGTCTTGGTAGGCGAAAAAGCTTATTTTGTAAAACTCTCAAGAATGATATATGCCTCTGAATATATATATACCTAAAGATTAGCAAATAATTCATTCTCTATCTAAATATTTTTCAAAAATTAGTTTAATTGAACGTCGTCTTATATTGAAATTTATTATATCATCATAAACAATATTTAAACTTTTACCATGAAGAAATCATTGATAGTAGATATGTGATTACACATTAGAGCATGTTTATCAATAAACCCCTTTGAGTATCATTAGAATTTTTTTAATATTAATTTAATTAGTTGTTTAATCTATGATACTCAAAAAGATTTTTGTTAAATTTGTATGTTTAATGGTGAAATTCAATGGGTATCACTAAAATAATAATAAAAAAATGAAACGGAAAGAAGAGAGAGACGAAGAGAAGAGAAATGAAATGATAAACACAGATTTCTTTTTTTTTGCCCAATGAATGCGTCACACGTGGCCAAGAAGAACCGATCCAAAAGTCTTAGTGAATTGAGACGTTTCACCCAATATCAAGCCCAAAATCGATTTTTTTATTCTTTTTATTAGGCTGATACCCACTAAATCTCACCAATAAACATGCTCTTCAACTATGGTTTGACTTTGGATCGAACATTTAGAGTGGTATGTAAGAAATTGAATAAAACACATGTAATTATTCTACCATATTCTTCGACATATATCTTAGTCATTCAACATACCAAATATTACGAACTCATACAAAATATTCTAACTTTAAACTATTCTGTATTTCTTCCGAAAATGAAATTCTTCTATTTCCAATTAAAAATTCTGCAATAAAGAAAAAACCCTAAAATCTACCATAATTATTATTAGACAGTTTCACCATTCGATTAGAATATTATTTATTTTCTTGTGATGTTTAGGATAAAGTTTTTGTTTATTTCAAGTCCTTAATTTTAAAAATTCTATTTAAATTCTTACACTTATTTTTTTTTCCTGTTTAACTATTCCTATGTTTAAAAAATTTCACCTTTTTTCAATTTAGAAAACAATAAATAATATCGAAAATAATTTTTATTTTTAATATTTGTATTATATAAAAATTATAATAATAATATGCACTGAATTTTCTATTTTTTCACTCGGTATCAGGGATTTATAGTTTAACATTAATAAATATAGTCTAAAATTTTAAATGTGTATTTTCCTTCATAAGTAAATTACTTCTTATTTTGAATAAAACATTTTAAAACTGGTATTAAATTTTTTGTTTAAATCTTATTTTCTTTATCCTACTAAATCATTGTAGCTCTTGTGTAACGCCCCGACCGGCACTACCAGTGAGCATCCACGCCTCTCTCGGACCCGTGGGCCCCACGTCTGTCCGATGGGACGGCTGGTCCGCTACGTCCGGGAGGCTTTAAAAACTTGTTTATCAACCCTACAAATCACCACATGAATTTTTCTCTGTGTTTTGTCCTCATTCACACAGTTCCGACAATCACTTCCGGAATGTCACCCATCTAGAAACTACTACAGCCCAATCACGCTTAACTATGGAATTCTCTCAGGATGGTTAACCGAAAAGATAAGTGCACTTTGGTGACATAGGTGACCAAATCAAATCTTTTAAACCTCTCTGCATACACCACCATATTCCTGAATTCGGGACGTTACAATTCACCCCACTAACAGACCGCAACGTCCTCGTTGCGCAACAAGATCGTTACCCCCTACGGTGTGAGCCCTCTTGACTCCACACTTGTCTGGGTTCGACTCTGATACCACTTGTAACGCCCCGACCGTCCCTACCATTGGCCTCCACGTCTTCTCTCGGTCCCATGGGCCCACCCATGTCCGACGGCTGGTCCGCTACGTCCAGGAGGCTTTAAAGACTTGCTTACCGACCCTACAAATCACCACATGATCTTTCTCTGTGTTTTGTCCTCACTCATACAGTTGCGACAATCACTTCCCGGAAGGTCACCCATCCTGAAACTACTTCATCCCAAGCACGCTTAACTGTGGAGTTCTCTCAAAACAGTTGACCGAAAAGATAAGTGCACTTTGGTGACATAGGTGGCCAAATCAAATCTTTTAAATCTCTCCGCATGCACCACCATATTCCTGAAATCGGGGTGTTACATCTTGAATATAAAGTTTGTTCCATTAAATATATATGATAAGTTTCTTTTTTCCTATATCTATCAATTTACAAATATTTACACATTGATTATTTATTAATATAGAATTATCTTATTTTATATTTATTCAATCTCTATTAACATTTTTCATATTTTTGTGTTATTTATCTATTTTTATCATCTTGTATTATATATATATATAGGTTATTTTTGCTAATTATTCTTATATTTTAATAAAGATAATAATAATAATAATATCAAGTATGTTAATTAATTTTAGTTTTAGTGATAGTTAGTTTTGATAAATTAGATATGTAGATCCCAAAGAAATGAGTAAAATATGCTTATTTGAATGTTGGTGTGAATCATATGATTAGAGAATTTTCTCTCCTCTTAAAGTTTCCATATAAGTAACATTATTTTTTTTTGCACTAAAGTATATTTGAAATGATCATATTGAATATGAACATAACATAAGTCTAGTTTGACATATCGAAAAAAAAAAGCTTTAGAGTTTTGACAAATTCTCCTTTTCTCCGGTCAATACACTCTGCTTTTAAATATATGAGTCAAACAAAATGTAAAGCAAGAATAGAAGAATTTCAAAGAATAGACAACAACACTTACTAATTTCAATTTTACACTTTCACAATCAAAAACCTCTTTATGTACAACAAAATCTTTAGAGGCAATAAAACCCTCAAGTACTCATAACTCAAATTTAGTAAACGAAACAAAAAAGAACAATTTAAGGTTCCCTTTTCTTGTGTGTATGTTCAAACAACTAATCACAACAAACAGGACATCTAATGAGACCATTCTCATTACAATCAGGACATGTTTGAAACCCATACTCTCGTTCTTCCTTTACACTTTCATCATCTTCTTCTTCTTCGTCGTCGTCTTGGTCTTCATATTCATAGTACACTTTGCAACTCCCTGAACATGTCTCACACGGCACAAACCTTACATCTCCACAAGCCTCGCATTCTTGACCATTACCATTTTGGTTTTCTTCCACCCTCTCGCAGCCTTCAAGAAGCTTTTCGAGCTTTCCATCTTCGTTTAACTTCCGAATCTCCTCTGCTCCCCCGATATACTTCCTTCCCAAGAAAACTCTAGGTAAAGTAATCCCAACACCATTGTTGAACTTCTCCCCTAATAACTCCTTCAACTCGCCTTTGAAACCCGAATGCATCGATACATCTCGCTCATCCACTCTAATTCCGAGGCTCTTTAGTATAATCCGAACATCGCAGCTCTCTTCATATGTCTTCCTTATACCTCTAAGACTTGTAAAGTAAAGTATCACTTTCTCTTTACCAACACTTTTTCTTGCTTCATCCAAAGCTTCCTCCTTTTCCTCATCAGAGAAATTGAACCGCGGTTTCAATTCGAAATCACGATTCGAAATGTGAAACGGATGATCAGAAGGAAGTTCTTGAAGTGATTTCCTAAACGAAGAAATGATCTCAGGATCAAAATCTTCAAACCCTTCTTCTTCTTCCTCCATTTGAAGCCAAACCGGCTTCACATTACCATTCGACTTACCTCGTTCGCAATCGCCATTACGAGCAATATCAAACGAAAAACTCTTAACATGATTAGGTGATCGTAAAGGACTTAAAACATCTTCAAGCCCATCCATCATTTCCCAAGTATTAATCGTTTCTGGCTCTCCAGGAGGCGTAATAATCGGAGTTTTCGGTACAATCTTCGGTATCTTCTCATTCATCATACTTGACCATACCTTTGCTTCCATAAGCTTAGCCTGCAATTCCAAATTCGATTTCTCCTTATCTGACTTCTCTTTAACCACATTTGGACCAAACCCATTTCCAGTTTTCCCAGATTCTTCAGAAACAAGCTTCTCACTGAAGTCTGCCAAGTGTTTGTGATTATGCCCAAAAGAAGAATCACATAGCTTGAGAGATCCAAGGCTTGAGGAACTTAGAGCCACCATGTGACAACTATCTTCAGAGTTTTGTGATGCGTGATGCACCGAGTGACTTCTCGGTACATCCATCGGAGGAGAATATCCTCGCCGGCAATGGTTACAACGCTTACGGTGTTTGGAACTCGCACAACCCATAATCGATGATCAAAAAGGGGTAAACGGGAAGAAGAAAAAAAGTGTTTTAGATTTGATTTTGGGAATAAAAACTGGATTTTGTGAAATCGAGATGAATTATTTATCGAGATTTGTGATAAAAATCAAATCTTTTTTAGATCAATCTGAAGAAAAAAAAAAAAAAACAGAGACCAAAGCAGGGGACCAAAAACAGAGGATTGTGATTGGACTCTTAAGGAAAAAAAAATGAAGACCAGAAAGAGCTTTGGACCAAACCAAATGATTTAACAAAGAGACCACAAAGACATCTTCATGATCATGACCATCGTCTGGGTTTATAAAAACTCTCTCTGTAAAAAGTGTTAGAGAGGAGGAGGAGAAGAAGAAGGAAGAATGTTGTGAGGTTGTGGAAAAATTCAAGAATTTTCTTAGAGAGATTTGTTTATTTATAAAGTCTTTTTTTTTTTTTTTTTGTTTCTCTGCATTTGACTCCTCCTACTACTAGTCATATTTGAGGGTAATGTGAAGGCGCGTGATACACGCTCCTTTCTTCAGAGAAAACTTTTTGGGATTGCTTAAATTAGGAATGATATCTACTGGTTTTGTCATGTTCTTTGCTTTTAATGTCATTTTATTTTTTTTCTTTTATTGACATAAAGAAATTGCATATTTTATGTAATACAATTATGGTATTACATTATTTTCTGAAATGTAATTTGATTAGTGATGAATATGATATTTTGTTGGACTTTTGTTTCTTGTTGTTGGAACTATATATTATCACTGTGTGTATTTCATTCTTGTAGCCGGTTCGCTATTCCAAAATACTTATTCAGAGTCGTTGATAAATTTTATAAATCAAAATATATTATTTTATGTTTGTATTGATTTTTAAATAATTAGGTATCTAAAAAAATTTGTTAAAAAAGAATTTAAATAGAAATTTATTGAAAATATTATAAGTGGTAAAAATAATATATAATGAAAAGCATAAGAATATTATAACTAATATATAGAATAATTTCCATAAAAGTATTTTGACAAATTTAGAAAATATAAAGTAATTCTTTTCATTTAAACATTAATAATTATAATTAATCAATTCTTTTCATTCAAACATTATCACATTAGTCTAGACTTTGGATATAAGGTTGATAACATAAAAGATTAGCAATTAGCATGCATCTAGCCTAAAAGTGGTCTTAAATCAAATATCCAAATATCTAACACTTCATTTTTTTTTTGTCATCCGAAATTAATTAACGCTCAAATGAGTCATTCCTAGGGAATGTTGTTTACATATGTGATATGAAGCGGTTCTGCACGAACTTTTCGTGCCAGATTATCCGCTTTTACATTAGCACTACGAGAAATTAAAGATAAAGAGAAGGTTGAAAATTCGTCCTTTTCGCCCTGAAATTCCTCCAAATACACTGAAAACGCCGGCCATTCGGTTGGAGAAGAGACCATCTTCACCAGATCAGAACAGTCTGTAAAGAACGCTACCTCTTGATTATCTGCACCAATCATACACTTCATCGCCTAGAGAAAGGCCTCGACTTCTGTATGTAAAGGAGATAGACTTCTACGGAGGTTTGCAGCTCCCATGGTTGGCGGCTCTCCAGTTGATGATGTACAAAACCAACCTGTACCAGAGAACTTATCACTTCTTTTCCATGATCCGTTCACAAAACAACGATATCCTGCAATAATTCGATTCAAGTGAAGCATCCCTCACTCGAGATCGAGATACCAAATCCATAGAAACATGTTTTTCATTAATAAGCTCGATTTGAGCTGAATGCCACAATTGATCCTCTCTTTCCACTAACCGTAAAACCTCTAGTGGGTCGCTGTCAATATCTAACACTTGATATTCGTGAATAAAATTGGATATACGTTGGCAAACATATCAGTAAACATAAATAATGTTGAAAAAAGTTAAGAAATGTATAATATTGGACATTTAATAATATGACTAGGAGTCTAGGACCTTTTTTCGGTGAAAGTTCCCACATTCGTGCTCTAATTTAGTTGCTCGAGTAATTATTTAATATTTTTTATTTTAATGTAGTATATACTGGGTCGATCCACAAGAACTAAAAATATTTTAAAGATTTATGAGACTCGTTCTGAGGTTAAACGAAAAAGTTATTTGTTTTGGTTTTCAGCTTGTAAATTAAAATGCAAATAAAAAAACGATTAAACTTGTATTATAAAAAGAATTGGGTCATAGGGTATTTTAAAGATTAAAGAATAATGGAAACATGAGACAAGAAATTCAACAATGAAACATCGTTCTTGAACATGAACACAAGTTTAGACGACTAATTCTCTCTCAAGACATTAATCACTAAATTTGATTGCTCGACTACTAAACTCTCGTTTGTAATTTTCTAGTCAAATTTTCATTACCAAACAAGTTCATTAAGTCCACAATGCGTCCTAACGTCAACTCTCGTTGGCTAGAAATACATTTCTCACTTCACATTGGTTGAGGCATTCTATCGAACACTTTTGATGCATAGAAAAACTAAGAATCTAAAACAGAGTGATCATTCATAGTCTAGCATTAAGAACATGTGAATTAAAGAACCTTAGGATAAAGAACTCCAAACAACAATCAAACCATCAATTCATTGAATTCCCTACTTAGAACCCTAAAACCCCAATAAAAAGACTACTCACACACAGAGCCGTGCCTAGAGATACGAAGACCGTAGACAATATTTAAAAACTATATTTTTTACCAACAAAAAAAAAAACTATATCCCAGTTCATAAAAATGAAAAATTTCTCCTACCAAAATAATATAAAAATAATATTGGAGTAAAAAAATGTAACTCTAAAACATCATTTTTTTTTGTAATGTTGATAATATTGTTAATTAAATTTTCAAAATCAGTATTTTAATAAATTCTTTACAGATGGACAAGAATCACAAGATAGTCAAACATCAAAGATAAAAAAGAAGTTTAAATTCACAATTACCGTATATTATCCTAATTGTTTTTATTTTAGTGCTTAATTTAATTATCAATTTTGAAAAACATCCCTCTATTAAAAGCGTCACGTGTTAATGTTAAGAAACAAAACAAAAGCATCATGCTTTTTTTTTTTTTTTTTTTTTTTTTTTTTTTTTGTCATCCGAAATTAATTAGAGCTCAAAAGAGTCATTCCTGAGGAATGTTGTTTACATAAGTGATATGAAGCGGTTCTGTACGAACTTTTCGTGCCAGATTATCCGCCTTAACATTAGCCCTACGAGAAATTAAAGATAAAGAAAAAGATGTAAACTCCTCTTTGTCGCTCTGAAATTCCTCCAAATACACTGAAAACGCCGGCCATTCAGTTGGAGAAGACACCATCTTCACCAGGTCTGAACAGTCTGTAAAGAACGCTACCTCTTGATTATCTGCACCAATCATACACTTCATCGCCCAGAGAATGGCTTCGACTTCATGCATCATGTTTCTCTAGTAAAATTTCATGCTTAAAATTACGTTTAATAAATTTTAGTACACATTGATTTTTTTTATTTTAAACAAGGCCGTAGGCGAATGTTTTATTTTCTTTAACGTAGCCACGGCCTGCTCACACATATTGAAAAGAACAACACAAAGATATGAAGAAGACATAATAGATTAATGAAATATATATATAAAAGGATTAGAAATCTTCTCCAAAATGTCAAAGAGGATGAATCTCCAATCCCAATAGTAGCTTACAGAAGAAAAGTCTCAAAAAAATTGCAGAAAAAGAAGCGTCAATGTGAAAAATAGATCTTTGGGTTTTTATACCCAATTACAGAAAATACAAAATAAAACTGGTTACAGAAAACCAAAACTGGGCGACATGACTGGAGCGATCGATCTGGTGGGTGAACCGATCGGTCCCGCGTCACTGCAAATTGATTCTCGTCCGTCACTTGAATTGATCGATCTGGAGCTTCTTGTGTCCAACTCTGCAACTGCTTCAAATGCTCGCCATAATGACCTGTTTTGACTAATTCGGATATACCTCTTTAATGCACCAAGGAATTTCACATAATCGTTAATAATTTTGAGAAAAAAAAACTTTTGTCTAATATATAATATATATTATTTGAGTAGTTATATTAGATCACTCGAATGTCTTACCCAAATTTCTTACAAAAATGGTACTATTAGATCACTTGAATCAGGTTATTAGAACAAAGTAATAATCAATAGTCTTTCCACTATAAAAAAAAATAAAATATCAAATTAAAACTTAATACTTTGATTTCAGGAATATGGTGGTGTATGCGGAGAGGTTTAATATAATTGATTTGGCCACCTATGTCACTAAAATGCACTTATCTTTTCAGTCAACTTTCCTGAGAGAACTCCACAGTTAAGGGTGCTTGAGCTGTAGCAATTTCAGGATAGGTGATCTTCCGGTAAGTGATTGTCGGAACTGTGTGAGTAAGGAAAAAATACATAGAAAAATCATGTGGTAATTTGTAGGATCGGTAAACAAGTGTTTAAAACCTTCCGGACGTACCAGACCGACCGTCGGAAGATGGTGGACCCACGAACCAAGAGAGGACGTAGGGTCCATTAAAAATGGTGTGACGGTCGGGGAGTTACACAAACTCAATACTTTGCAACTCGATGTACAATTCAAACATGACGGAAAAAATTATATGATTTATATCTATAGACTATAGGTAATATATGGTTTGACTGATTATAAAAATAGAAAAAAAAAAAAAAATAGAAAAAGCATTAATTATAAACAAATAGAGGAGGTCCATAATGTCAAAAAGTGTGTTTGTGTGAATATAATTTCCTATATGGTAACAGAAGCTAGGTGCATGGGCTACTAGTACTATGTAGTTGAGTTAATAACATTTAACTTTTTATATGATACTAGATATGGACCCGTGCGTTGCACGGGTTACCAGTCGAAATTATTATTTTTAATTTTTATTTTTGTAAGGTTAACTAAAATTATATAAAAATATGTTTTAATTTTAGAAAATATAGTATTTTAATTATTTTTGAAATATAGATTAATTATGCATAATGTGCAATATAAAATACTATTTGTAGTTTTGTTTATTATATGTTACAATATGAAATACTCCGACCGACCATGCCACCACCACAACTGAATCTTAGAACTATCACAATCATCATCACCATCAATACTAAATCTCGCTAATTCCGACCCACCACCTTCATCAATATTTACCGCCACCACCACCAAACTTGAACCACCGTCATCAACACCAACACCACTATTACCGCATCTTCCTCTCTTTCCCCAACTGCTCTTATTTCTCCACCTTCTTTATCTTCTCCGACATCGGGTCAAACTTTTTCGACAACAACTCTATTTTATGTCCATCGCTGTTCATATTTCTTAATTTCCCTCAATTGCCATATATTCTTAATTTGTCTATATATCTATTTGTTTATATATAGAGGTGAGTATTTAGAATCTTTTTTTTCGAGGATTAATAATTGATTATAAAATTTCTTTAATTATCAATTGTATAATTTCATAAATCTTTTTTAATTTTAAGGAGAAAGTAATTTTTTCTTTTAGAATTATTAGCTTTAAATTAGAATTAGTAAATAATTTTTTAATTTCTACTTTTTTATAAGATACGTATAGTTACCTTATAATTATCTTCTTTACTTTTTTAAATTTTTTTTATAAGATATATATGTATAGTTGCCTTATAATTGTTTTCTTAAATTTCTATTTTTATTTCATAAGATACATCTAGTTTCCTTATATTTATCTTTTTTAGATTTTTAAAATTTTTTATATAAGATATATACGTATAATTTTCTTATAAATTTTTTTCTAAAACAAAGATTTTTTTGGTTTTACACGTTGATAAATTTGACATGTGCGTATAGTTTCCTTATATTTTTTTATAAATAAATAAAAAGAAATTTTTGTTTAACACGTGTTAAAATCTAAAATCGATAAATTTGACACGTGGCAGGATCTTATGAGTTATTAACTTTGAAAACCATACTTTATATAATAAGATAACCAACTCCTCACCCTTTAGATAAGTTTCCTTTTGCACCAAAAAAAAAAAAAAAGATAAGTTTCCTATAATACGTAGTCATGAAATTATATAGAATGTAAACAAATGTATTATTAGGAATTCAAAACTTTTCGAAAGTTATTGAATCAATCTATTACTTTGTAATTATTTATGAATTGAGAGCCTACAAAATGTAACATCATATAAGCGTTTAGTTGATCTAATATATTGGTATGTTGCTCGATATAGATATTGTCGGTTAAATTGTAGGATTCAATAAGAGCTATTATCTCCAAAAAAACGTGTTAAAAATTTCACATTTAAAATTTGATAGAAATGAAGTCATCTATAAGAAGATATATCTATTTCTAATTCAAATACAAGAGTACTGGAGAGGATATTATAAATTCAACTAATGTAGGATGGTCTAAGTAGAGTGCCTTTTAGTAGGATACATTGTCGAACCAAATACTGGAATTAAATTTGAGATGGATTAAAAAAATTATTATTTTGAAAAATGAATTAAGGATCCAATATCATAATTAAAATAATATTTAGAATAATATATAAAAAATATGAACCAATCAATTTATATATATATATATAAAAGCACATGACACTCATGTTAAAAAAATCGCTAGGCGCTAGTCGGGCGGTGAGGGTGGGCCTAACGCCTAGCAAAAAATCGGAGATTAAATGGGAATTAATCGGAATTATTTTTAGGGCTATTTAATGTTTTAAAAACATTAATCCATTATAATTAAGAAATTTATATAATATCATTTTTAAAATTACATTAAACACATTAAAACAAGATTTTAAACTCAAAATTATAATTTTTTATACAAATTACAAATATAAGTGGGATGTTTTGAATTTTAGATTAAAAAAAAAAAAAGAATTGGGCTAGGCGCCGTCTAGGCGGACAAAAATTGGACCAATGATTTTTTTTACCGATTTGGACAAAATCACCGCGGTTGCCCTCTGATCAGCGCCTAGACGGCCGATTTTTAGAACAAGGCATGACACTCCTCAAGGTACCAAAACGTTTGATTCGAAAGTTGATGCAAGAATTGGAGTTAATCCAACTTTAGATCACTTGATGATCAAGAGTTCCAAGCTTGCCACGCGGAAGGTGGGATGATGAAGGTGGTGATCTGACACGCTGGCGATCGCTTCTCTCGTGTGGGATCGATTCAAGGGGAATTAATGGATAAAAGGATGATTGACTCGCTCAATCAGTGGGATAATCGACTCACTCGATCAATGAACGAATAAAGGATGTTGAATCACTCAACAAACTCAATCCGCAGAATCCTGAAGTACTTGGTGACTCACTCACAAAGAACTACAGCACAATGACAAAGACTCAAACTAGGCCTGGGCAAAAAAACCGTACCCGAGTACCCGAACCGAAACCGACCCAAAAAACCGGTTTGGGGCGGGTACGGGTATTAGCTATTTACCCTATTGGGTCTTGTATTGCCGTACCCGTGGGTATAGGGTAAAACCCGATCCGAACCCGATACCCGAACGGGTACCCGATTACCCGAAATTACATATACTTATACATATAAAACTTTTTATATATGTAATATTTGAATTAAATACATTTATATCTAAATATCCGAGAATAGTTACCAAAAATTAAATGCACTTATATTTAAATATTTAAGACAAAATATATTTATACGCGAGATGCTTGTAAATTTTTTAAATATTTGGACAAAATTCCGGTTATTAGGATAAATTTTCGGGTGAAACTCGGATATTAGAGTAAAATTGCGGATAAAATTCGGATATTAGGATAAAAATTTCGGATAAAATTCGGGTATTTGGTAAAATTTTGGGTATTTGGGTATAAAATACCCGAACCCGATGGGTACCCGATTTTTTTGGGTATTTAGCGGTTCTAAAAATCTAAACCCGAACCGACCCGAACCCGATTAGATCCGAACCGAAACCGAACCGATATTTTAGATTTACCCTATTGGGTCATAAAGTCCTCTACCCGAAAGACCCGTACCCGATCGGGTTTTATCCGAACCCGACCCGCATACCCGAATGCCCAGCCCTAACTCAAACTTTGACAAGTAGAAAACGTTTCTATTACTTTAAAATGATCAAGGGTGATTTACAATGAGACTAATGATCAGCTTATATAGGGCTGAGTACAACGTTCTAAGACTTCATAGAAAGAAACAAAACATTAATGAAAATATTGGACATTAAATGTAAAATCGGTCCAAGTAAGGCAAGTGAGGTGTACCTTGTATCTTGTCAACTTGGGGAGGAAGTTGTGACGTCTTGGAAGCTTCTGGAGGGTCTCAAGATTCTCACACAAGCGCACAAACAAAGAAGGAAAGAGTTGTTGCAAGTTGATCTCCTTCGGCTCCATATATGGCAAGTAATAACTCCGCGGGTTCTTGTGTGGTAAGGTGTACCAAAGTTTGTGTGGTACATGTCTTGTGTAGCCTAGATGTTCTCCTAGTTTCCATGTGTAGCTTTGAGGTGCGTCCAAGTGTAGAATAAGGAAGATTTCCTTGTTTGGCTTCATTTGACGCAGTACTTCAGAAAGTAGTTCAGCGAGTAGTTCAGCAAGTAGTGCAGTCGGTCTGTCAGCAAGTACATCAGCTATATGTACTTGTAACATCTTCGAATCAATTGCTTGGTAAATGATTCCTTGATGACTTGATGTTGCCTCGTTAAAAACCTTTCTAGGTAAACCCATTGGGACAAACCCTAGATAAGGGAAAAAGAGTGCAACGGTCAAATTCCCATAACATGGTGATTCGGCTCGCTGGTCTTTGATTCCTCTTGAACCATCATTAGTCTTCTTAGGGTTAATTTGCTGGTGAATAATTAACCCTAGGTCTTGTGTTTGATTATGACTCCATTTGGGCAAGAATCCTCCAAAATGCTCCATATCAACCGGTTTGATACATGTACCGGTTGGTTTGGTATACTCCCGGTTTGGTTTGATTTGGATGTCCGCATCAAAAGTAGTGGATATGTGGGATTTAAATTAGAGAAATCTAACTACCACTTACTGTTCAAAAACTTAGTAAAATTGCCACAAAACATAAATCTTTCCAAATGTGTCATAATGGTGGACAATATTTCTTGTCTACTAAAATTTTTGTATGTCGTTTCGAATTATTGTCTACCAAAAGTCTGTTGTTTCAAAGGTGGACAAGATTTTTTGTCCACCAAATATCTTCCCAATCTGTTGTTTCAAAGGTGGACAACATTTTTTGTCGACCAAAAATTTTTCGTTTCAAAATCTTGTCCACCGTTATGGCACATTTGGAATAACAAATGTTTTGTACCAATTTCTATAAATTTTGCTATAGTATATGACACATTAGACTAAAATCCCTTTAAATTACATAAGCTTGCTTTAAAGAGCAATATATATCCACTCATGTAGTTCTTTTTTCTTGATAATTTCTTCACTTAGATTTTATTTTAATCAACCTTTTTAATTGCGTGGCAAATCAGGAACGTCTGTTATTATTGGATATGAGTGAAAAGTAACACACCAAACAAATAAAATGCAACAATTATTATTTATTAATTCGATCTATGAAATTAAGGGTGGGCATGTGTGTGACTGAACGAAGGACCCTCTACATAAAGAATCTGTTACATCTGAGGAATATGGTCATTTATTTTCATTTTTATTTATTTATTTTTAGCAATAAGTCATGCTTACCTACTTTCTTTGATTTCATAAATACTAATATGTGTGAAGAAAAAAAAATCAAATACTAGTATATAAATAATATAATAACATTAACCAAATTTTACAGATTTTCATAGTAAATTTCCAGATTTTTATAGTACACTGTAATGCAACATAACACAAGTAATCTCAATGCTAATGATTAGTATAACACTCCGGTTTCAGGAATATAGTGGTGCATACAGAAAGATTTAACAGAATTGAGTTGGTCACCTTGTCACCAAATTGCACTTATCTTTTCGTTTAAACGTCCTGAGAGAACTCCACAGTTAAGCGTGTTTGAGCTGGAGCAATTTTAGGATGAGCTAGGTACCTTCTGAGAAGTTTGTCAGAACCGTGTAAGAGAGAACAAAACTCGGGAAAAGATCATTTGGTGATTTGTAGGATCGGTCAACAAGTATTTAAAGCTTCTCGAACATAGCGGACCAAACTGTCGAAAGATGGTGGACCCACGGGCCGAGAGAGGACGTTGAGCCCATTAAAAGTGGCGATCGAGGGTTAAAAGTGGTATTAGAGCCGAACCCAGACGTGTGTGGAGTCAAGAGGGCTCACACCGTCGGAGGTGACGGTCTTGGTGCACAACGAGGACGTTGCGATCTGTTAGTGGGGTTGAATTGTAATACTCCGGTTTCAGAAATACGGTGGTGCATGCTGAGAGGTTTAAAAGAATTGATTTGGTCATCTATGTAACCAAAGTGCAGTTATTTTTTCGGTCAAACGTCCTGAGATAATTTCACAGTTAAACGTGTTTGAGCTGGAGCAAATTTAGAATAGGTGACCTTCCGAAAAGTGATTGTCGGAAACGTGTGAATGATGACAAAATACAGCAAAAGATCATGTAGTGATTTGTATGTTCGGTAAATAAGTCTTTAAAACCTCCCGAAAATAACAGATCAATCATCTAGAAATAGGTGAATTACGGACCGAAAAAAGATATGTGACCTATTAAAAGTGACGGTCGGGACGTTATAATTAAGACAATTATATGGTAATAATTTTCACATGATTTGGATTCAGTGAACATGCAAACTATACAACACAAAGCCACGAACTAAGTAACAAGGAGAAATAGTAAAACTTAGTAATTTTAAAAGCAAAATCAATGTCCACTAATTTTGTCGAATGTCTCAAATTGCTGTCAAACATAGATATAAATCCAAATCTTAGCCTCAATTTCAGGATTAATGCTTATATTTATATGTATTATACCCTCCAACTATAATTATGCGGGTATACGAAACGACAACAAAATAAAAATAAACAAGTTTCTCCCCCTCACTTTTAGCATCTGGTATTAAAAATGTATAGTTTGACTAATTAATGTGATGTGAACATAATTCATAATGCGAATAAAGTTGTATAAATGCTTTTTTGATTATAAGTTGTTATATATATGCGGAGCCGTGGCTACGTGAGGCAAAATGAAACTTTCACCTACAGCCAGTTTTTTTTTTTGAAAAAATTGTAAAAACTTTATATACTTTTGTCTATTGTAATAATTAAAGGCTCACTTCTTGTATTGAAACAACGTGACACTTATAATCTTGGGTATAGTTTATATGGTCTTTTAAATTAAAAACTGAATGAACATAACAAATCAAACCTTCAAATTACAAATTACTATTACTAATATATTCACATTCTAAGATTAATATAGTAATGTCCGACATTTTATACCAAAGAAGGGATAGAAAATTATGTTCTAAACTAAATATTTTGTTTTATTTTCATTCTTTATTCATGTAGAATTTTAATTGTTATTTTAAAAGTTTTTGGTTTAGAATTTTAATTGTTATTTTAAGTATGCATGCACCTTCAAAGATATATCACATAGCACTACATAATCATATTTTACAAGAAAAATCATATTCCAAATTCAAACCTCCAAATTTTAATAAAGAAATAGATAGAGTACGATAGTCTAGTGCTTAGCAAATGATATTGGTTCCATTGTGGGAGAAGTTGATTCTATTGTGATATGTGCATCTACCTCAATTTCTCTTGGGAGAAGGGATCGGATAATTCCAAAGAAAAAAAGAGTAAATGCTGACTCCAAACCTATAAAAAAAGTTTTCGATAAGCACGTATAGTTGTGAATTTGAATCCGGAATGTGACATAAGGAAAACAATAATATAAATTGTTACGTGAACTCTATTCATGTAAAGACATCACTATTTGATCAATTATTTGAGAAAAAAAATACTTTCACGGCTAACAAATATTCCCTTTGTTTTGAGACGCTGTCTCCCGGTGAATCACAAAAAAAAAAATATTCTCTTTGTTTCAATTTTATTGGCGTTTTAAAATTTAAAATTTATTTTATAATAAATATCGTTTTAGATTTTTAATGCAGATTTTAGATAAAAATTATAGTATTAACCCTACTTTTAATGTGTTGACCAGTGACAAAAATTATAGAATATGTTAATAAAAAATTAAATAGAAAATTTTATTGTTTTCTTAATTTCAGCGAAAAATAAACGACAAGTAATTTGGAACGAAGGAAGTTATAGTTTATATCTTATAAATCAAATTGTGTAAGAGAAATGTAGACAAAAATTGATTTTATCTAAGTAGTATGCAAATGTTACCGAAAATTTGGCGAATCCGGAGGAAATAAAACAGAGAGAGAAGTGGGTTACTAAGTGGCTTGATGGTAATGTTGGTCTTCTGTCTTGTTTTGTGTTGCTGTTTCGAGACAAGAATTAGATGGCCTCCACTAAACCTTGTTTTATGAAACTTATCTTAATCCACTTAGGATCATTTAGCCATTTTAATATACTGAATTTTATGATATTCTTTAATGGTTGTTAGCTCGCAGTCTCTCTCTTTTTAAATGAAATAATTTGATTAATATTTAGAACTATAGAGTTTGACAAAAAAAAGTTGAAGTGAAGTTTATTAAATTATTATATAGATTTAGCTGTTATAGTTTATTCAGGTTCTTTCCATTTTCATGCCGTCGTCATTACTCATGTCTCAGGACTAATCAGAAATCACCTAGGCTTCACATAAATACTAATATTAATATATGTATCATAAAATTTTGAACCGTAGTTATCAAAATTCGGGAACGTACTAATCTCAAGTAAAATCTCATAAATTAATAATATCACGGCTCTGATATTATATTAAATTATAAAAATATTAAATTATCGATGAGACAAGAAAAAAATGAATTCGGTACTACAAAATTATTTTTAGATATATGTTAAATTATTTTAAATGTGCTGTCAAAAAAATATTATTATTATTATTATTATTATTATTTTTTTTTTTTTGCCAGCAATTATTTTAAATGTATTCACTTATAAAAATAAAATTATATTAACTCGAGGTAATAAATAGTAAAAATAACTAACCCCACCACAACAACTCAACTATTTGTTGGATCCAAAACTCAATCCGGGTAGTTTGGAACTTAAAAATTTGACAGTCTTCAAAGAATAGCCTGATTATGCATGCGAACCATGGCTCGACACGAGATCTTCTTAAAGATGAAATTGCAAATATTTTTAAATTTTAATTAACATATGTATCGTAGTATTATATAAGGATTTGATAATAACAATTGATGAAGACGATAAAGTTTTGCTGAGGATAAAATTTTTTTATTTTGGTAACCAATTATATTAATATAAAAGATAATTTTGTACAAGAAAAAAGTATATTATTTTCGTGATCTTTGAGATCATAAATGATTTCAAGATGAGAATCGATTGGCGGCTCGTAGGACACTGGTTGAACACATGTGTCAAACTTAATCAACGTATCATGTTTTCAGAGTTTTTAGCTTCTTCTTAATCTAACTTTTGGATGTAAGTTTTGGAATTTGAATGCTTTTATTATTGGGCTAGAAAAATCTTTGTAAAACTCCTAATAATTAGCTTTGTTGGGCTTTTTGATGATTCACCAAAAATAAATCATATTTTCCAAGAACCACTGATCGAACTTTATTCAGCTTTAGAAAGATAGAAAATTAAGATATAAAATAAAATTAAGTTTTATTGTGCAATAAACATAAAAGAGAAAAATATTTATATTTTCACTAAAACGAGAAAAGTTATTTGATTGATCTTATACCAAGATTAAGAAGAGAGTTACCACAAGGCAACTTCCAAAGATTAATGTTCTTAATGTCATACACATCGTTATACTGTATATAAATGAATCTTGTTTTGCTAATAATACATCCAAAAATGGACATCACATTGGGTTTGAGCTTGTGTTTCTTTTGGACTTTAATATTTAGGACTAAATCATTTTGATCAATTAGAATACAGTTTTTTAGTAGCGTTGACGAAGAGAGAAATACCATAAGAGCATAGACCATGCCACCATGGCCCGGGCAGCGGCCTAGAGACTCATTACAATTTCTTTAAATTTTGTTATGTTTTAAAGCTAGCCCATTTTGTTAAAAAAATATTTATACTATAACCCAAACATTTTAGCATTTAAGACCTTTAAAAAAAAAGTATAGAAAAAGGTTATGTAACGCCCCAACGGCCATCCCTCTTAATAGGCTCCACGTTCTCGTTCGATCCGTAGGTCCACCCGTGTCCAGCGGCCGGTCCAGTATGTCCGGGAGTATTTAAATATTTTTTTACCCTACAAATTACCACATGATCTTTTCCTATGTTTTGTCCTCACTTACAGAGTTCCGACAATCACTTCTGTAACGCCCCGACCGTTCCTACCAGTGGGCCCCACGTCCTCTCTCGGGCCCATGGGCCCATCCCTGTCCGACGGCCAGTCTGCTACGTCTGGGAGGCTTTAAAGAGTTGTTTACCGACCCTACAAATCACCACATGATATTTCCCTGTGTTTTGTCCTCACTCACACATTTCCGACAATCACTTCTCGGAAGGTCATCCATCCTGAAACTACTCCAGCCCAATCACCCTTAACTGTGGAGTTTTGTTAGGACAGGTGACCGAAAAGATAAGTGCACTCTGGTCAGATAGGTGGCCAAATCAACTCTTTTAAACCTCTCTGCATGCACCAACATATTCCTGAAACCGGAGTGTTACAATTCATCCCCACTAACAGATCGCAACGTCCTCATTGCGCAACAAGACCGTCACCCCCGACGATGTGAGCCGTTTTGACTCCATACTGGTTCGGCTCTGATACCACTTGTAACACCCCGACCGCCATCTCTCTTAATGGGCTCCACGTCCTCGCTCGGCCAGTAGGCCCACCCATGTCCAGCGGCCGGTCCGCTATATCTGAGTCTTTAAATACTTGTTTACCAACCCTCTAAATCACCACATGATCTTTTTCTGTATTTTTTTTTCACTCACACAGTTCCTACAATCACTTCCCGGAAGATCACCCATCCTAAAATTGCTCTAGCTTAAACACTCTTAATTGTGGAGTTCTCTCAGGACATTTGACCGAAAAGATAAGTGCACTTTGGTGACATAGATGGCCAAATCAATTCTTTTAAATCTCTACGCATGCGACACTATATTTTTGAAACCGGGGTGTTACAGGTTAAACAATTTTTTATGCATAAATTTATTTTAAAATATAAAAAATAAATTGTTTTTTTTTCTGCCCTAAATCTCTAATTATTGTTGGGCTCGGGCCGCATAGACACTCTTATGTAGACATGTATGTCTTTATATTCCTAGACTATAAGAGCATCTCGATCGATAGAGTATGTGGAAATCTCTCATAAATAAAATAATAAAAACAATCAAAAATGAGGAGATAGAATGAAGATCGTCTCTCATTTGAAAAACTATAGAACCTTAGTTTGCCATTTTTTAATATATACTAGATTTTAACCCGTGGTACATCGCGGAATGATTTATTTTTTAAAGTTAGTGTATATAAAATTTTACAAATTGTATCTAAATATTTTATAGTTTACAATTGTTATTAAGTAACTTAGGATTTAACCCGTATTAAAGGGGCATGTTAATGATATTTTAAAATTTTATAAATATTAATTCAAACTCGTTCGCCGTATAAATCCGTTCCGAAATATAATCCGTCCCGTAATTTCTAAATCTGTCTCCGTGATTTGTTTTCTAAAAGTAGTGATTTTAAAATTTAATAATTATTTATTATATATAAAAGTTTACAAATTGTAGCATTCTGTAAGACATTTATATTTTAAGAAACTAAGAATTTAATCTATATTAAAGCGGCATGTTAATGATATTTTAAAATTTTATAAATATTGATTCAAACTCGTCCACCATATAACCCCGTTCCGAAATATAATCCGTCCTATAATTTCTTAACCCGTCCCATCATTTTCTAAAAGTAGTAATTTTAAAAATTTAACGATTATTTATTATATATAAAAGTATGCTAACTGTATCATTCTCTAAGATATTTATATTTTATAGTTTACAATTGTTATTAGAGAAATTGTTAAAAATGCCCATTTTTCAATACCCCTTTTCAAAAATGCCTCCTTTGAGAGTCTATTTTTAAGTTTGCCCTCTTTTAATTTTTAATGACCATTTTACCCTTATTTGAAACAAAATTAGGTCCACAAAATACAAAATATTTTTTGGTGGGAATAGTGATCCCGCAATTTTCCCGCCAAAACACTTGTAAAAACCTTTAAAATACCTTGTAAAATTTTCCCGCCAAAATTTTTCCCGCCAAAAAATTTTTTTTGGGGGAAAAGTGATTCCGCAATTTTTTTGCCGAGAAAAATTTACAAGGTATTTTAAAGGTTTTACGGAGTATTTACAAGTGTTTTGTAAGGCTTTACAATGTATTATAAAAGGTTTTACAAGGTACTTATAAGGTTTTATAAGGTATTTATAACTTGTAAAACCTTATAAAAAACTTGTAAAATCTTATAACTTGTAAAACCTTATAAAATAGCTTGTAAAATCTTATAATATCTTATAAATACCTTATAAATACGTTGTAAAACCTTTTAAAATACATTGTAAAACCTTATAAATACCCTGTAAAAAACCTTTAAAATACCTTGTAAATTTTTCCCGCCAAAAATTTAACACCAAAAAAATTGCGGAATCACTTTTCCCGCTAAAAAAATTTTTTGGCGGGAAAAAATTTTACGGGAAAATTTTAAAGGTTTTACAAGTGTTTTGGCGGGAAAAATTGCGGGATCACTTTTCCCGCCAAAAAATATTTTGTATTTTGTGAACCTAATTTTGTTATATTTCTTTATATATTTGTGATATCTTTTATTAAAAGAAGGGTAATTTAGTCATTTTGTACATAAAAAAGGGTATTTTTAAAAATTGACAGCCAAATGGAGCATTTTTGAAAAGGAGTATTGAAAAAGAGGCATTTTTGTGAGTCTTCCTTGTTATTAAGTAACATTATACTACTAGACAATTTTTAGTTTTATAGAATTTTTTCTAAATGAGACTGATTTGATATGTCTAATATTGGTGGTATTAAAAATTTTTTTAAGGATTTAATCCGTATTGAAGATGTGTTAATGATATTTCAATTTTTTTTTTATTGTTGATTCAAAAACCTGTCCCGCCAAACCCGTCCCGCAATAAAACCCATTTATTTTATTAATGGTGATCTTATTTATGATATGATTCCGAATCATTGTCTAAACATTTTAGTCGATGTGGAACGTTGAACACACAATTTTTCTCAATTGGATAATATGTCCGTTTTAAAAATTTTGAATCACACTATATGCAGAATAAAAAATTATATCATATTTTTTTTACATTATATATTATATGATGATACAAAACAGTTAAAAACAAATCAAACAAAGATGATAGAAAAATCATAATTCTAAATCTTAATCAAATCTTCTAAATATCTAAATTATCCAATATAGAATATCCGGTGTATGAGTTGGGTTAAATATAACCCGACCAAACAAATTTTTTATGACCAAATTTTGTAAACGGGTCAGATACCCATTATATTCAAATGCATTTGTCCCACCCGCTAAAAATATATTTCAAAAATACTAGTATAGATTAGTCCAACACTAAATACTACATGAAGTTTAATTTAAAAAAAAAAAAAAATTCATTAAAAATAATATTATTATATTTATTAGAACCCCTCCTTTCTTTTATACCGATAGAGTTGCTACAAGATTTATATGCAATTTTCATGCTTTTCACCGGAAAAGTTTAATGGAATCCGAAAAAAAAACTCAAGAGATAAATAACACACACAGTGACACAGAGATGAACATCACAAGAAAACAGTCAAGAAAAAGCACGTGAACGGATATTAATGGACCGGAACACGTTTGATCTAAACTAAATAGCCAAAATCTTGTGTTAATACAAAATCTTCTCATATATATTATAAAAAATAGGCTTAGATATATAAAGCCAAACATTCTACAGCTCGCTGCTTTAATATGTTAGCAGGGCCGTCTTCTTATTTAAATAATATTAATACGTTTATATATATGCTAGGTCGGCCCTTTTCTAACTGGAGCCATCTGAAGTTTGGGTTGACGCGGCTTCTTGAGACCGAGAGGATGCCTTTCCTTGAAAGTTCATAGCACCTTTGAAGGAGGCTCCACCACCATTAGAACACGCATTTGTGGTGCAACTGTTAGTTCCAACATTGGTGTTTGAAGCACTTCCTCCACTACTGCCATAGCTTCCACTTACACTGCCAGCAGCGGTAGTGCCTCCAGCTGCGGTACCAGCGCCAGCGGCGGTAGTGCCTCCAGCTGCGGTACCAGCGCCAGCGGCGGTAGTGCCTCCAGCTGCGGTACCAGGGCCAGCGGCGGTAGTGCCTCCAGCTGCTGTACCAGCGCCAGCTGCGGTACCAGAGTTAGTAGTTGTATAACCTCCAGCTGCAGTACCAGAGCCAGCTGCTGTACCAGCGCCAGTTGTGGTACCAGTGCCAGCTGCGGTACCAGAGCCAGTAGCGGTATAACCTCCAGCTGCAGTACCAGCGCCAGCAGCGGTAGTGCCTCCAGCTGCCGTATCTGAGCCAGCAGTGGTAGAACCTCCAGTTGTCGCGCCAGAACTTCCAGTTCCAGTGGCAGTAGAATCTCCAGCTCCGGCGGCAGCATTAGCATCAATACCATCAATTCCTAAAGATGATATATCGATTTTGTTACCGCTCTTTGCTGCAGCACTCGCGACAAATTGACCAATTGTTTGTGCCCATTTCACCATAGACATGATCATCTCTTTCCTTTGTCCAAACGACATTACCGTTGAACCGCTCTGCTGCTGGTTGCCCAAAGTCTTTCCCATTGACAACAATGTATCCATAACCTTGCTAGAATCAGCCTGGTTACCAAATTAAAAGAAATAAAATTATCATTATCGAACCACGATCATCTTTACTTAAATACATTTTAAGATCTATATAAAATTTACCGATGCTCCGCCTTTGCCACTCATTGCAGACATAGCTGAGAGAAGACCCTGGGCTTTCCCTTTTAGCTCGGCATCAAAGTTTTTCGACCCGGACGCAGAGTTTATGAAGTTCATGTAAGATCTTAGGTTTCCGAAGAAGCTCTTATATTGTGGCTTCAATGGACACCTAACCTCCAAAACGTCCACGAACTTCAACATACCCTTGCAAGCGAATGGTCGAAAGTCTCTGGACCTTCTGGGAAATTTCCTCAAGTAATGCCTAAATAAGAACGTCCCTTGCACTTCGTAGACCTCACTTAATGCTACTAGTAGCAATAGACCTAATGCTAATGAAATTTTTGCCATTTTTTTGTTTTTTGTTTAATCTTTTTTAATGTTTATGTTTTTTTTTTGTTTTTTTTGGGAGAGTTTTTGAATGATTTTACGTTCCTATGAGAATCGGTTTATAAAGATTTCTAAGTGGTCTAAATTTAGATGAATATAAGAGAAAATTGTGGATCGATATTTAAGGTCGCTAGAGACTAGCAAAATTTCTATAAAATATTTTTTTCTTTAATTTCTATTTGGTCGGCAATCGTTGCTTTCCGTGTTTTAATCTTTGTCATTCTTTTTCTGGAAAGGATACCTTTTCTTGTGAGAATATGAATTACTAGGTTCTTCTGACCCATGCCTTGTGTGAGGTAGATTTTTAATAATATGATTGTAAATGTTAAGATATATTTACCCAATTAAGTAGTGTTTTTTTGCAAATATAGTAATATAATGAGTGTTATTTAACATTAAATATTAACATCAATAAGAGTACAATTTTTATTATCATTAACATTAGAGTTTATGTCTCTTAGATTGTAAGAGATTTAGCTTATATATGGGAAAATAATCTTTATATCAAAAGGCCTTAACAGATTTATGGTAAATACAGTTGAGCATAATAAAATCTATATTTTTAGTTTAACATAAAAATTTGTAAATTTAGAAAAGAATGTATATTAATATAGAAAATATATCCATAAAATTTACTAAATTTATACGAATATCCATATATCCATAGAAAATATATCCATAGAACTATATAAAGATATGTCTTGATGTCTTGAGCTCTACGTTTCAAACTTCTCAAATATATTTTGAAGCGTTATTAATATAACTAGGTGAGTGTCCGCGCTACGCGCGGGATTTTGTTATAACTTTTGTTTTTATATTTTTTTTAAATTAATTTAAATTTATATGTATATATTATTAGATTTCTGTTTTTTTATAAAAATTATGTATTTGTCTTTTTTTATTTAGTATTTTTAAAAAATTTATTTTTGTATATCTTTGCATGTTTGAGACTAATATATACATTTTAAAATAAAATTTCTCATTTAGCTTTTAAGATATAGTTTAATATTATTTTAGTATAATAACTATACAATTTTTAATTTTATATGGAGTTTATCAACTCTAATTGAAATGTTTTGTTTTGTTTTAGTTAGAACAACTTATTTAATGTAAAAAGAAAAGCAAATATCCTCAAAACTTTAAACTTGAATGTAAAACAAAATTATTGGCTCGAAAAGATCATGTCCACAGTTGTATTGAAGTATTTTATAAGAGAATTGTTTTCTAAACTCCATTTTCTCTTGGTCTCCATTTTTTGTCCCTCCACTTTAACTGATTGTAGAAGTTGTTGTCGGCTTCTTGATGGGATTTTGTTCCTCAAATGTGCTCCAGCCCTATAATGAATATTTTGTGTTATATATGTTTATGTAATTTTTTTTTTTTATATTATATTTACCTCGTCAAAGTTTTTATAACTTATGTTTGACACCATGAAATTCTGATTCTTGGGGGTATATTTGAGAGGAGATACTCTTATTTAGAAACGGAAATGTTTGCCAGCAAGATCACTTAAACATGTTGGTAAGATATTGTTGTTACCTTTGTTGCCCTGCAAAAAATGTTTGTTTTTAGGTTTAATTGTTATTAAAAATGAGTAAAATTTGCAATATTATATGATAATTACTTTCCTAAGATTTTATTTACCTTCTCGTCCATAATTGTGGTTGCCGTTTTGTTTGTAAGTTTTCTCATTTCTTTGTCTAAAATCACAAATGTCGTACCATGTTCTCCATCATGAACATCAAGCTCCACTCGATACCTATGAAATAGTTGTATATAATAGTATTTAAATGTAAAAATTTCTAAATTGTTATATCTTTAATTCGTTGTGTTGCAA